CAGTTTCAGACTGGTATACTGCTGGGTCTACAAACACCCTGTCCTTATTATACACCTCATGGTGACAATCAATGGCTGCTACTGAAAAATCTGAAAAGACATAGATGAAGAATACCTCAAGTGCTGTTGGTCTGAATCTTCTTTATTGATTAATTAATATATATTACTGTAACAGTGTATGTTTCCTTTTTTCAATGAAATAAAGTTTATCATACTATAAAAGTAATATATTTATTGACAATTTGGAAAACCAAAGATAAAAAAAATTTCTACCATTCACAGACCACTGTTAACATTATGATTTATTTTCTTTAGAATCACTTGATTGTGTATTTTATTTATTTATTTTTGAGACAGTCTCTCACGCTGTGGCCCAGGCTGGAATGCAGTGGCACAATCTTAGCTCACTACATCTTCTGCCCCCTGGGTTCAAGTGATTTTCGTGCCTCAGCCTCCTGAGTAGCTGGGATTACAGGCATACACTACCAAGCCTGGCTAATTTTTGTATTTTTAGTAGAGATGGGGTTTTATGATGCTGGCCACGTTGGTCTTGAACTCCTGACTTCAGGTAATCCGCCTGCCTCAGCCTCCCAAAGTTCTGGGATTACAAGCATGAGCCACTGTGCCCAGCCCAATTTCATATATATATATTTTTAAATATTTTTTCCAGACCTACAGTTAAACTCAAGAGCTAACAATCAGCAGTTTTCTTAAGTCTGCTTAAATCTCTAAAGCTATCCTCTGTAGTCACCAGGATCTCTCAAGACTATGGTATAGGTCAGGCATGGTGGCTCAAACCTGTAATCCCAGCACTTTGGGAGGCTGAAGCAGGTGGATCACCTGAGGTCAAGAGTTCGAGACCAGCTGGCCAACATGGTGAATCCCCGTCTCTACTAAAAATACAAAAATTAGCCAGGTGGCATATGCCTGTAATCGCAGCTACTTTGGAGGCTGAGGCTGAAGAATTGCTTGAACCTGGGAGGCAAAGGCTGCAGTGAGCCGAGATTTTGCCACTGCACTCCAGCCAGGGTGACAGAGCGAGACTCTGTCTCAAAAA